AAGTTGTGCACCACTTGGCTCTGTTTCTCTTTTAGACAGATTCAATCTCATGTATCCCAGGGTGGCTTTGAACTCCCCATCTTCCCGTTTCCTCCTCCCACATGCTGGGATTAAAGTTATGTGCCACCATTGCTTGGCCTCTATGTTAATCTAGTGGCCGGCTTTGCCCACTGATCTTCAGGCAAGCTTTATTTGTTAGAGCATACACAAAATATCAGCACAGAGAATCTGCTTAGAGGAAGATGTAGAAACACAGGGAAGAAAACCTGTGAGTGTGTGCATGTTGGGTGTTCAAGTGCCTGTGCAAGAATGTGTGCATGAGAGAGAGAGAGACAGAGACAGAGACAGAGACAGAGAGACAGAGAGACACAGAGAGAGAGATTAGATAAAGTATGGTTAAAGTAGCAGAACAGCCAGAAGAGAACCAGATTCATGCAACTTAAGAACTAGCTACAGGAAGGCAGATGTGGCCAGCAGTGTCAAATACCAGAGATCAAATAGTCTAGGGACCTAAAAGAGGTCATCAACATTACCAGTTACAAAATGTCTGTCTGAGTTTCTGGAGCTTTTCTGTGTATTTTCTGCAATTTTTTTTTTATAATAACAAGAGATATTCTTAATTCTTTGCATCACTAACTTTGACAGAACAGCACTGTGGAGAAGTTAATGAAACACAAGAAATAGGCATCAAAGTTTTCTTGTAGTGTTAGTGGAAGGGAGGTTTGGAGGAAGGCAGGCTGAAACCGTGTCCCCCTTCCTCAACCCCAAGGCAGGGTTTCTCTGTTTAACAGTCCTGGAATTAGCTCTGTAGACCAGGCTGGCCTTGAACTTACACAGATCTGCCTGCCTCTGTCTTCTGAGTGCTGGGATTAAAGGTGTTCACTACCACTGTCCAACAGAACTGCGGCTTTAAGGGAAAAAAAAGCAAAAAAACCCCACATTTTTTACTGATATTCAGAGAATATATTTGTTTACAAATTGGCCTCGCTGGTTGACCTGAACAAAAACCTCAAACAAATCTTTCTCAAGGCCAGAAGTAGTAACAGTTTTGCATCTTGCCTGGGTGTTAATAGAATTCACGTTAATACAGAAGAGATCTCATTGGTCCATTTAAAAAGAATCACTGCATTCAAAGTCTACATGGTTTAGGGCCTGTTCCACCCATAGTCATTTGATCACTGATGGCTTGAGGGTTTGTTTCTGTGTCTACACATGGATTGGAATTAAGCCGAGTCAAATTTGAACTGAAAGTCTTTTCATCTATCCTTATTAAAGATGGTTTACTAATCTTTTGGGAAGAAAAGTTGTGTGGGTGTAGTGTGTGTATGTGTGTGTATGTGTCTCGGTGTGTGTGTGTGTCTATAATGTATGTGTGTGCATGTAGTGTGTGTGTGTATGTGTGTGCATGTGTATGTGTGTATAATGTGTGTGTATGTAGTGTGTGTATGCATGAGTGTTGTGTGTATGTAGTGTTTGTGTGTGTGTGTGTGTGTGTGTGTGTGTGCATGCATTTGAAAGCTAGAGATCACCATCAGATTTCTACCTCAATTGCACTCCACCTTATTTATTTGAGGCAGAGTCTCTCACTGATCTGAGCTCACTGATTCTGTTAGACTGGCTGGCCAGTCGGTTCCACCCATCTTCCATCCCTATCTCTCTAATGCTGGGATTATATTTGTACACCACACCTGCCTTTCTGTGTGTCTTCGGGGGATGTGAACTCAAGCCCTCAGGTTTACATGCTAATTTCTGTACCGACTAAACCATCTCTAGTCCTCTTCTTGAAAATCTGAACTGTGTTTCGTTTTCTAATATTCTGACCAGTAGGTTTTTCTTAATCACTACCAATTCTTGAAAGATCATTTTGTTTATGTTTTTAGAAATTCTTCACTGAATTTCTGCAATAATCTATTTTATTTTATTTTTTTTAGCTGCTGGGAATCAAATAGTAGGTGTACCAGTCAAGAAACACATGTGGTGAAAATCATCCTATTCTTTAAAAGTCTCTTTTAAATAAGGTGTATATAGGCTGGCTGCTAGAAATGTATTAAAGGTATCCTCCAAGCACTGCCTTTCAGGGAATCTTGATTTAAAAGCCTCCATGGAATGATAAAATTGAGCTTCTTGTATCTCTATGACCTCTAAAAAGGTCTGCCCAGCCACAGCTGCCTGAAGGTCATGTCCGTAATTAGAAGATCCCAGGGTCATCTCAGAATAGAACGTCAAGCCACCCAGGGTCAGGCCACCCAGGGCACATTTACGGAATCTACTATTTCAGAGCAACAGCAAGAGAGAGAGACCTTCCCGTTTATGCAGACAGAGCTTCCTAGGAGAAGGTGTGGGGTTTTGGTGAAAGTGTTCAAGGTTTCAGAAGATGTGGTGGGGAAAGCTCTTGGAAGCGTGCTCAGGAGCAAACCAACCAGAGACACTCAAAGGCGGGAAGAGAGAGATTCCTGCTTTGGAATTTCTCTCAGAAGTGTGATCTCCTCAAAGTTCTGATTGCTGAAACCCAGCAGTTGTGTTCTATGATGCTGCCCCACTGGCAGAGCGTGCCACGTGGTCCCAACAGACGAATGCCGAGTGTAACTTGGATGAAACATAGGATCTCTGTAGGGGTTGAAGGATGGAGAGTTACAAATTGTGTATGTACACAGAGTCTCAACATTGCAGTGTGTTTGCGTACTCACTGTGGTCAAGGCTGAGTGTGTGTGTTTGGGGCGGGGTGCAGATTCTGAACCCCACAGGGGTTCTTAGTTAAAGGGATTGAGTTCGGCTTCAGAGCCTTTGCCTTCACATAGTGAGCATCCTGGGATGCTCTGCCTGGGGCTTTCTTTCTAGTCTTTCTTCTTTCTCCAGCACTCTAACTGCCGGATGTGTGCAGTGCCTAACTGTGGCCGACTCCCTAGTAGAGAGCCCCAGGAGGTTAGCTTTTATTTTTAAGACCAAGAAAGGATTTGTGTACATGAGTGTTTTGCCTGTATGCATGTGTGTGTACCAATACATGTCTGGTGCCTGTGTGGGCAGGAAGATGGTGTCAGAGCTCCTGGAACTGGACTTACAGAGGGTTGTGAGCCCCTATGTGGGTGTCAGAAACCGAATTTCAGAGGAGTACTGTTGGGAACCATGCCCTTTAAAGTACAAAAAGAATAATGGTGTTAGGTGATGTGTTAGGATTTAAACGTCGTAAGGTATTAAGGAAGTGGGAAAAGAGACAGATCTACTCTCTTCATAAAATTGTGTGAAGAATGATAGCTATTCCCTTAGGCATTTTTCTTTGTACACAGATGGCCACAGACATTATTTTAAATTCATTGCTAGTACTGGACTTTTGAAAGTCTGTCACAGGAAATAGTTTATAGGCTGTGGATGTCGCTAAAAAATGCCACTGATGCTCAGTCAGGAAGATTCTGTTTATGGTGCCCTTCTTCCAAGGACTTCAAAGGTTTCAACAAATTCATTTTTCAGAAAACTCCTCAGAGACAAAGAGAACATTCTCTCTTCTTGAAAGATGAGGAAACACAAGGACTGAGGATGTGGCTCAGTGGGCCCAGTGCTGGCCTAGCATGCGAGAACCTGGGCTCATCTCCCTGCACTGTACAAATTGGGTGTGGTACCCGGCTCCTGTAATTTTAGGCCTAGGGAGGTGGAGGCAAGAGGATCAGGAATTCAAGGTTACTGAGTTTATGACCAGACTACATGAGACTCTAACTCAATTAAAATAAATAAAATAAAATAGAGGCAGAAAAACTTCACCTAACTTTGGTACAGTTTGACATGGAAACCCACTCTTGTGACCACAGCTGTCCTTTTTTGTGGCTTACAAGTACCTATTGTCAGTGGAGGGAGGGTGTGTGTGTGTGTGTGTGTGTGTGTGTGTGTGTGTGTGTGTGTCTTTCTGCAGGCATCGCAGTTCTGGAATGTGATGGAGCTTGGGCTGAGAAGAGAATGGGGTTAGTAGCGGATCTTTTACTCCACCCCATTCCTACCCAGGTTCCGATCAAACTGAGGAGTTGAAGTATAAACCTGCTTTTTGATGCGCTGTCTTTGTCAAGGAAGGAGATATTTATTTGTTTGTTAGCTTAATGTAGGATGCACCATGTAGGCTTGTAGTGTGAAGCCTCTTACCTCCGTCAGTCTGCTGTGTGGGGCAGTCTGTTACCTGATTGCCCATGGAAATAACTAAGAGAGAAGCTGACGACAAGCTGGATTGGTTATATAATTTTCCAAGGCAGTCGAAAAATCCTTATGAGTTAAAATCCAAGCCCTGTGCATTATAATGAAAACAAAGCCCCCTCCAATTTAGAAAGAGATGAAGCAAGAAACTCTTCAAAGATCTTCTGAGGGATCTGTCTTTCTGACCCCCGCTCCCCGTGTGTGTGTGTGTGTGTGTGTGTGTGTGTGTGTGTGTGTGTGACTCTGTCTACCCCCCACCCCCACCTAGGACTTTGCAAGAAAGAGACAGAAGATGATAGGCATCTGGACATCTGGACGGGTCAGCCTTCCTTCCCAACCTGGGGGCCTAGTAAACTAACAAAAGGAGGGTGAGGGAGGGAGGGAGGGGTGTATGTGTGTTGAGGGGGAACAAAAAACCCCACCCCTCAACCGACCAACTAATCAACCAAAAATCCCAAACTATTGCAGAAAGCAAGAGTTTACAGGAAGCGTTTTTTCCCCAATCCCTCCATTGCTGGGAACGCGGGGTCCTTGGTGCACCTCAAGCCGGGAGTTTCCGGTTCGCCCGAGGCTAGCAGGTCAGGTCCGGGCGACGGAACCGGACCCCGCGAAGCCTGCACGGTGCGCCCCCGGTGCTCGCCGCGGCGCACTGTCGCCCGTTTAAGGGGCGGGCCGCGGCTCCACGTGCTTTCTACTGAGTGACTGAACTACATAAACAGAGGCCGGGAAGGGGGCGGGGGAAGAGGGAGAGAACAGCATTTGACCGGTAGTAACCCCGGCGCTCGGCACAGCCGAATCTATAAAAGGAACTAGTCGCGGCAAAAACCAGTAATTCCGAGGGCGAGCGAGCGGGCCGCGACCGGCCAAGCCCACATCTCTCTCCGCAGCGCAGGGCTGGGCAGGGGCGCCGCGGGACCCGCTCAGTCACAGCCGGTTTGGGGCGCTCCTCTGCTCCCTGGTCCCCCCACTTTTTTCCCCCTCCCCCTTTCTGGAAGGGTTTGTGCAAGGTGGGAGAACACAGACACAAACACCAAACTGGAAAACAGGTAAGAGGTTCTTCAGTGACTTGGGTATTTTGTTTCGGGGCCAAGGAAGCTTTGGGAAGCTCTCCGTTTCCTGGACTTGGGTCCTTGAACCCCCATATTTCCTACTTCTAGGGATGCAAATAGGACAGGGGCAGCATAAATTGGGGGAGGATGTCTGGGAAGGGCCGTGGGAACCCTGGGATGCAGAACTGCAGCTCTCGGGTCTCCCCAGCCGGAGACCCGGGAGAGCATCTCTGGCCTGGGAGACCCGCCTCGGGAGCAGTGGGAACCAGGGTTCTCGGGCGCCCTAGGGGCGCAGTCACTGGAATGGGGAGACGAGGATCGTCTGTGCAGCGTCTCCCTTTGTCTAGCACCGGGTCGGCCGTCGCCCACAAGTGTCACATCAGAGTCCCCACTCCTTTATTAAAGTGGTCTGTGTTGGCCTCTGACTTGGAGACTCGGGACTGGGGCGGCGTGTCCTTGTTTCCAAAGAACTCGAGTAGGAAGTGTCCCAAACGGAATCTTTTGTGTCTTTGCGTGCTCGAGGGCTCGCGGCTTTGTTTGTGGGTCCTACCCACAGGCTTGCTGCGCTCCAGAGAGCTGCAGCCCCTGGCGCAAAGTGGGAGACGAGTGTTGTTCCCTCTAAAGACAGAAAACTTGAGAGAGCCTGCAGAAACTCCAAACTGAGGTGTCCATTTTCCCCTCACCCTCTGACCCATCTTCCTGCTTTTTGCTGCCCGTCCCTTGGGGCGGCTTGGGGCCGAACACCGATAGAGAAGCTGGGGCTAGGTAGTGCAGCCGAATGACCGCGAGTAACCCCGGCGGGCGGCGCAGAACTCGGGGCTCGGGTGCTGGGCCGGGCTCTGCCGCCAGGGGGTGGGGGCTGGGCGGCCTGCGGGTGGCCCCTGGAGACTAGCCCGCAGCGCCTCCTGGCCGGGTGGCCTAGGTATGGCCCGGTGATGCTAGACAGTCTGTAGTCCTTCCGCTTCACTGTGAATCTGGTCAGAACTGGTGCTTCCAAACTGGGAGTAACCCTGGGGGCCCGGGAAGCCAATTTTTTTTTTCTTTTTTGTCATTGCGTTTCCTGACTCCTGGGCCTTTACAAAATGAAGCAAGGTTCTTGAGGGTGCTCGCTGGTGACAGGCTTGTGGGTAAATGTTTTTTTTTCTGCACTTACCGGAAAGGAGAGAAATACTATTGCTATTGAACTTTTTTTTTTTTTTTTTTTTTTTTTTTTTTAGGGGAAAAAGTATCTGGCACTGAAAATAATTGGTTTCCCTCATTTGCTGCATTGGTATTCAACAATTTAAAAAACAAACTAACCCAATACTTGTTCAATGACATCCTCAAAGGGCGTGGGCAGAATAGATATACAACAGACTGCTATTTAAACAAAAGGAAAACTTCTTGGCTTAGGATATAGGTCAGTGGTAGAGTGTTTATCTAGCTTGTACAAGACCTTGGGTTCTAGCCCCACTCCAGCAGAAGCAAAACAAAGCATAAACACAAAGCTTCCTTGAACAGATTGGTACATCACTTTCAGTGTCTCAATCCTCGCCTCCCACAAAGCACACCTGACACACGCCCCCGGGCTCAAAATCACACCCTTACTAGTGCTGTTATAGTCATACCTTTTGACCAGGACCCAAGTATCGATACCCTACAGGACATAAATGTCAATCAAAAAGAACTTGGTTTCTCATCTCCCCTTTTCCTTCAGCCCGGGTTTTCATAGTCTGACTACAAACCTAAGGACAACGTAGTAGTTTTGTTCCTATCTTTGCAAAAACTTCTCCCACATTAAAGAAAGTATGACAGCACAGAGAATATTTCTGAGTTGATAGTATACACAAAATAATAAAGATAAATTTTACTTTCTTTTGTAAGCATGTTTTTTTCCCTCAATGCTGTCATAAGTCATTAAAGTAGGTAGGGATATTTTTTAGAAAACATGTGATGCCCAGAGTTAATTATTATTTATGTGAGAACAGGTTGAATCAGAGGGGCCAGGGAAAAAAATTTACAGCCAACATAATGCTCATAGTCCCTTTTTGGAGCAAAATTTGCTGCCAGAGAATAATTCATGTGACCCTTGTAAAAGTCACTGATGTTCTGAACTGACTCACTGGTGGTGACTTGGAGATCTGATGTGTGTCTCTGTGCAGATGAGTATTTGAAATCCAGCCGCTTCTAAGTATTTCTGTTAGTACCTAAAGGCAGGCCTGTAGTGGACCCTGGGTGTATCTTGATTTGGAACGTGCTGTGTTTTGTGGGAGACGGAGACAGACAGCATTGGTCTGGAATTGGAAAAGGGTGATTAGGGCTTGTTAGTTTTCCGCCTTTGCTCATGGAAGCCCCAATGCAAACACTGTTAATAATGAATGACACTTAGCACCTCAGCTGTGTGCTATCTTACCCTATTTGGAGAGGAGTTGGAATATTTTTACACTTGAATGTTTTCTTTTTAGGCTTTGTTTTTCCACTTCATAAACCAGGATGCTTATGTCTGTATTGTAGTGATTGAAAATGGTTAGATCTTTGCTTTTTTCCCCCAAGTTATTTTTAGTTTCTAAGATAGTTAAATGGGCATTTCTTTAAACCCTTAAATTAGGACCTTTCTGGATTTTTAGAAAATACCAAAAGCACATGTTGCTTTGGCATTTCTAAAATATGTCTTTATGTATGGTCTAGATATTAAATAAGTAATGGGATTATAATGGTCAGTCATTCTGGCATCAAGTTTAAAAGATCATTCTGAATATTTGTTTGATTTAGTTGCATTGGGAGAGTGTCTGCACTAAAAATAAATTAGAGACTGCCTTTACATATGCAAATGAAACATCTTGAATACCAAAGTTATAGCAGGGTTTGTGCCTTAATAATAGACACATGGTGCTGTATGCCAAGTGCTTTTCCAATGTTTCCCCAACACCGAGTTAATCTTCAAAACAAGATTATTTTTTGTATCTACTCTGCAGATTAAGAAGGTAGGAGGCTACCCGGGCTTTGGCTCTCCAGTTTTCCAGCTAAAAGTAGCTGGTTTTAGATTTGAATTCAGTTCCAGAAGTCTTTAACTGTCCACATTAAGGGAGACACTGGTACAATTTCAGATGCGGTGAAATGGAATTTTCTGTGTATTCATTTGCTGACATTCTTATCAGAAACTCTAATCGTGTTTCTGTTGTTGCTGGGGGGTAGTCAGCCAAATTCCCTCCTCGAAGAGACCTTGGTTGCAATGCAATGCAGAAAACCGGCAGTAACATTTGCTCATCTCCCTCTCATTTTTTTTTTTTAAAAGAAAACTTGGTTTTAAATGAACACAATACTCTTGCCTCAGTCAGTTATTTGTGAATAGTGTGTGACCTCAGAGTAGTTTTCTGTAGCTCTTGGGGCCAGGCAGTACGTTTTAAAAGTACAAGAAGTCAGAAAGTTAGTCTCAGAACTAAAATGGCTTTCACAGGCAGCTCTTCAGTTACACCACATTCTGCATAAAAAAAGCAGTGTGTTTGTGTTTATTGTTGGCAGTTGTGGAGCATCGAATTTGTTTTCTAAAACAAAGAGGAAAAGAAGAGTTTGAAATCCTATTTTACTTTTATCTATCCATTTTGGAAAATAAATACAAAACCCTCTAGATTTGTAAGCCGCCTTGAAGACTGACAGGAAGAAAAGTCCCCTTCCTCAGGAGTCACCTGGACCCACAACTCCCTCCCATTCCGCCCTCCATAGGAGCTGATATCCTTGCTCATCCTTGTCATGTACGTTGTGTAGTTTCCAAAATTATAATTAAACATCGGTCTTCTTGTGGCACACATGCCTTTCTAAAGAGAGGTCGCTGACTCAGTTTCCCCCTAGCACTGGTCACCATCTCTCTAATACCGAAATTGACAAATACTGACTAGAAGCGCTCAGGTAAGGGGCTGGGTGCTGCTTGCTTCCCTGTGTTCTAAAATGGCCCAAACAAATGAGACATTCTCAGAAAAGTGTTAGCGAATAATATGGCAGTGAACATTGATAAATTTTGTACGTGTTTACATTATTTAAGTCAAGCAAACTCAGTAGAACGAAGAGTTCTCCGCACCCAGTTCCATTTCCCCTTTTGAGGAAGCTGTGATTTGAGACAGTAGTCTGTGATGGTCCACATTCGAATTAAATCAGGCTTTAATTTATTTTTATGGATAAGAATACTTCATTAGGTGATTTAGATGTTTAAACACTTTAAAAAGTTACAGTAGCCTCTTATGCATTATTTCTGTTTTCCACGCTTTTTTTGGTGCTTTGTGCGTCATTTCCAAGGCTCTGAGGACACACAGTAGTCAGGAATGGGATCAGTCCAGGTGTTAACAGCTGACTAGAGGAAGGAAGGGGAAAGGTACCCCGGCCCTCTTTGGGGACCTATGGAACTGCTAGGCCAGGCTCTGCATCACATCTGTCCCACTACCTCCTAATTACAACACTCTGTGACTGAACCTTTAACTCATGGGCCTTTAAAAAGACATTCAAGACCGCCAACACAACAACATTTTTCTTGCTGTCTCCTCCGGGACATTGTTCCTTGAAACTGTTAGGAAACCCACTCTCCTGTGCTCCTGCTCCTAGAAGCATTTTGATATTAATTCCCAAAGTGAACGCTGTGCACCCTTTCTCAGTGTATGAGGAAGCAGACCACCCTTTTTTTTTTTTATACGTTGGGAGTAGGGGTAGTGCCGTGATTTCTCAAGCTGGTTAGATTGCATTTTCTATGGCTTCTGGGTATTTCAGGCCCTGGCAATGTTGTTTTGCTTTGTTGTTTATTTTTTAAATCTTTATTAACTTTTTTAATTAGATTTATTCATTTTATGTGTGTTTTGCCTGCATATATGTCTGTGTACCAAGTGAATGCTTGGTGAGGTCGGAAGAGGGCATTGGATCTTGTGGAATTATGGATGGTTGTGAGCCACTGTGTGGGTTCTGGGAATTGAACCCAGGTTCTCTGCAAGAGCAACAAGTGCTCTTAACCATGGAGCCATCTCTCCAGCCTCATT